GTGATTCCGGCAGTCACATCGTCGGCTGCATGTGGACAGCGCAGACGTCCCTTTCTCGTTGCATGCGCAACAGGGGGGCCCGCCGCCGTCTCGCGGGATGAGGGTGGGTGATTGAAAGCATAAAGGGTCGGGGCAGGGGTGAAGGCAGTTTATGAGCACGATTTCTATAGTGATGTACCATCATGTCCGTCAATGTGGTATTCCTGTATTTTAATACACACAGATACACACACACTTTGTCGCTGTGAATGTTCTGCAGGGGCACTTACCCGGAAGCCTAGTTGAAGCACGTACTGATCCGCCCCGCCGTAAAGGAACCTAAATGGGTATGTAGTATACGTATTTGCTCCCCTTTTTTAACGTATTCATTCAGGGGGGTCGATATGTGTCAGTGTACATCGGTTGGCTTGAGTTTGTGTATATGAGAATGCAGAAATGCAGCGACTTATTAACTTTTTTCTTCCATGCCTAAAGGTTCAGGAGCCTCTGTGCGCAGGCGTGCGCAGAGAAAGTGCAACTACAGGCATGGGGAGAGAAACGTTCATTACATACACGTGTGCTGTCCAACTGCAGGTCTGCAAACAGCGTGCGCACAATCGATGACGTCCTCGTACTTACGGACGAGCACAAAGGAGGCAAAGAGCTACTTCGTAACGCTCTTTCGTTTGAGAGAAAGGCCCTCTCAGACCTAGGGAGAAGGCGAATTGCAGAGCGCGGAATTCTTCAAAGAAACATCCATAATACACACATCCATCCGTGCAGAACCAACAGCGATGGCAAACGCTGAAAGACAGAGTCAAAGCTAGACCGAAGGCACCAATACGGACGCCGCCGAACCCAAACAGGACCTCTGGCCAGACGAACGCGATAAGCCCAGATCTCTTGCCTTTTGGCAAAGAGGGACCAATGACAGGAGGGGTACAACATAGCTCTACTATCCTTTTCGAGATCTAGAGGTGCAGCGATGAGAGGCGGCATAGCACAAAGTCAGCCTAGCTTCGAAGGCTGCAAGTATCTGCTGCGAGCCTTACTGGGCAGTCAATCATCCGCCCTCCCATTGAGGATGAGTCTCATATTTTTGCATCCTGTCCACTGTATCGGTCTCTTCGTGACACACTGCACACAGTTATCGGCCAGCATGGCGTGACTGCCCCTGATGCCTCTAGTTATCGTCGGTGGCGCAGGTCACATCCGATTGTGTTCACCTGTTGTGTGCTGCAATCGGACAAACTGCCGGTGCTTTCTACAGCGGCCGACTTTCTTCTGTCAGCACAGGCAACACGCACTGAGTGGCTTGCGCTTAATCCATTCTTGCCAGACAGTCAGACAGGGGCAGGCGACGACTTGCTGTACGAACAGCATGTATTAGATCAGTGGGCGCTCGACGTCGAGCTCTCTGACTAGCCTCTGCGCGTCATGCCTATGTCTGCCTGTCCTCTCCTACATGCGCAGCCGGGGTTCATAGTGATTTTTCTGACCATCATAGGGCTGGCATGTGCATGTCGAGTGAGTGGGATTGGGAGTGGGCTGGGTAGATAGGACGTGTGCATGCTTCCATGCATGTGCATGTTGCTAGTTCAGTGCGTGAGACAACAGGATCCCTCCGGGGTTACAGACACGAGTCTCGTTAAACACACTAACCAACCAACCAAGCCCATAATGCAATGGCACAGAGTGGTAGAGACAGCACGACACAACTCCATTATGCTTTCCGAAACTGGAGGGAAGGGGGGATAAATGAATGAGCATGATTCTGTGATGATCACATAGCCCTGTGGCATAGTATTCATAATCAGATATATTCATGTATATCAAGAAATATGTCATGTTCATCATTCCTTGCTCAATACTTCAGCGCACATGTTGCCGTTTCTCGGTACAAACGCCTTCACAGGCCTGCATTGGGACTATCTGTCGAATTTGCTGAGCCCGCAATTGAAAAGAAAGCAAGAATTCCAGCTGCCTGGAGGCCGAATTTACGATCAATCAAAGACTCAGACACAGATGAGCTAGCAAGTCAATTCAGCTTGGCCTGACGTTTTTGCTGTGGCTCGCCCGTTGGGCAAGAAGCGTCCGATCCGGGTGCGTTACTATCCATTGTTCTGCCTGAGCTTCCAAGCGCCATGTAGCTTGTGACAGCAGCTAGGCCAGTCAGTACAGTCAGCAGGTTGTACGGGAGAGATTCCCATACGCAAAAGCGCTCACCGCGCCCATTGACTTTGTGTACCTCTGAGTGGCCCTCGCTGACCCTGACTGCTGACTGCTACGTGAATGATGGATGGGATCGTGCTTGAGATCGGAAGAGCCACCTCGAGATCCGCTGACAACGCGACTGCAACGACGTCTTGACGTTCCCAAGCAGAACCGTGTCGGAAACAGCTACAGAAAGCTGTCCTGGAGGGCGTCAATTAGCCAATAGTTTGATGAGGTGAGTATCATGAACGCTTCTCTGTACATACCTGCGTACGCACGCCGGTACCTGCAATTGGATGTATCGAGTGAATGATCCTGTATGCGCACGCCTGCGGATAAACGTCGATAGTTGGATGGGGTGTGTGTTGTGATGCCTCTGTGCGCATACCTGCGTATGGACGCCGCCAGCCAGTAGCACATACGCACCAGCCATCCGACTTCAGGTATGCGCAGGTGTGCGCACGAAGACATTCATTATATATTCCCTCCAACTACATACACAGGGTGTGTGCAGGCGTATGCAGAGAGGCTCCGGCTACAGATATGCGCAGACGTGCGCATAAAGACGCTCATTGTATGTGTCATCCAACTATAGTTGTATAGTTGTGCGCAGCTCAGCGCTATTCCGTGCCAACTATCCCGCCCTTTGTGCGTCGTCGTTTGAACCTCTGGTTGACGGCCACTTCCCCAGGGGCCTCATTTCCGCACCCACCATTGCCGAGCATCACGTGCACGACATCTCCCACCAGCCCACGAGCTCAGCGCTATTCCGTGCCAACTATCCCGCCCTTTGTGCGTCGTCGTTTGAACCTCTGGTTGACGGCCACTTCCCCAGGGGCATCACTTATGTGCACTCTATATGTCAAGGGTTGATGATCTATGACGGACTCGGTGGGTGGTCGGGCAGAGGGTTACATTTGGCATGCTTGCAGTGATTGAATGGAAGGGACAGCTAGCTAGTTTTTAGTTTGCATTCTTGATGGACTCCTCGTGCTGACGCGCTTTCCGTTAATCTCGTGCACCCATAGTTGTGCGCAGGCGTGCGCAGAGACACATTCTTCCATTACTGATGTCTTTAGTGGCAATGAATGCCAGCGAGAATCGTTCTGACCGACCTGAGAATGCATCACCTTCCTCGTTTGCTTGACGATCCTCCCTCAGTCTGGTCAATCAATGTATTGGATATGATGAATGCGGTGAATGATCGATAGAGACACTTTCCATACACACACTCCAAGCACACACTGCAAGTGGACGCGTGACATTTATCATGTACACACGCTCCAAGTCCAATAAACGTGCATGCGCAGGTGTGCGCACACAGACATTCATTGTACACACACACCAAGTCCAAACGTGCATGTGCAGGTGTGCGCACAGACACGTTCCTTATATACGCACCCTCCAAGTCGACGCGTGCATATGCAGGCGTGGCACAGAGACATTTATCATATACACACACTCCAAGTCGACGCATGTATGCACAGGTGTGCGCACAGAGACGTCTTTCATACACACACTCTGAGTGGGCGTGTGCATGCGCAGGTGTGCGCACAGACACATTCCTCATACACAGGTGTGCGCACAGAAACATTGTCATACACATACACTCCAAGTCCAAACGTGTGAGTGGCTGTGCCGGGCCTCGGCGCCTATTGATGGGTCTGTCATCCTAAGAGCCGACTGCGGCTCATGCACAAGTGCCTCGGCGCCTCGCTGAGCAGCATCGCCTTCGACAGGCTGTTGTCCGCCTGTGCGTATGTGGACCGTCAGGTGTGCACCAAAAGGGCCTTGTGTGTGTGAACTCCTATCGTATCAACGAACGTTGACCATCGTCAGTCAGATCCTGCCGATTACTCAACCATCAACCACTCAACACTGCCATCTTCTCAGCAAGAAGCTGCTCCGCTCGTTCGGCATTCCCAAACACGCGGGACTCATGAAGGCCTCCATCAATGTCGTCCATGAAAGCGCCTGCAAAATCGTCTGGGAACTCTTTGTATTTAAGGTAGATACATGAACGGGCGACGAAGTTCGTCTAAGCATCAGTTCGTATCAAGCAATCAAAGGGGAACAAAACATGCAAAGCCAATGAACAACGCTCATTGACTGCAAACAAATACATACATCTCACGCTTAGCGTGAGACATGCATCACGATACACACATTCACAAAATCCAGATCCAGCCAGCTAACCTCACCCCAGCCCCGAAGCGGGGCTGGTGTGTGGCCTATATGGCCCGCGGCTGACGAAGTCCTCGGGAAACGCGCCGGGTCTCCGTGGCCCTCTGGCGGCCGCAGCGCGTTGTGCACGACTCGCCACTTGAAACGCGTTGTGCTTCATCAGCTCGACGGACAGAAGCTGGCTCCAGTGGTTGATGATGCTCTCTCGGAAGGCTGCGTCCTCCTCCGTGGGAATGGAGGTAGGGCGGGGCTTCCGCTTGGCGAGCATCTTGAGAAAATCCATGGTCTTCTCTGCCCACCTGCCGAATGTCTCCGCAGCGAGAGGCACAAAGCGGAAGCCGGCTGCTTGGGCGGTTGGTCCATACTTGTCGATCTTGTCTTTCACCGCAAGCTGCGCCGTCTTGCCACCTGGAAGTTGTGCGCTACGCCGGTTGACTGTCCGGTGGAAGGGGATAGGGGAGTCGTCAGGACGGCAGGGGTGAGCGATGGTGACATCGAGCAAGTAATCACTGCCGTCGATCACGCAATAGATGTCCATGCGCTGGTTATTGGGGTTGTCGTCGGGTGGGGTGATGCCGAGGCTGTGCAGAGGCACCTCCACATTACAAGGAACATCCGCCTCAGCCAGGATGCGAACAAACAAGTTGCGCATATTGTTGTGTCTCGTGACCCGCTCACGGCCGGTGTGACACACGTAGAAGTGATCGCCAAACTTGTCAACCTCCCCGCCGCAGATGCATCGCTGCAAGACGGTTGCGTGCGGGAGGGCAATGCCGAGACACCCGGCGACGGCATGGCGATACTGGAAGTTGTTCAGTGTCTTGCTGTCGCTGGAAGGGATTGCTGACAGCCAACCAGACGAGAGAGGCCCTTGGCAGCTCAAGAGACGGGCGCGGGCTCTGCTGTCCGGCGGAAGAGAGTTGAAGAGCTCGTTGAACCGAAACTTGTGCAGCTGATCGGTCAGGCGCTGCTGCAGCCGGACCTGCGGTCTCGAGACAAGGTCCTGGAGGGAGGGGAGGGAGAAGGAGGGACCGACCACCTCAGAGACGGCAGCGAGGGCAGGGACTGCAGCTTGGAGCCAGGGCAGGTCCAATAGGGCAGCGGGCCCACCTTGAGGCATCCATGGGGCTCCACGGAACCGGCTAAAGACATCAGATGCCGTCACGCCGATCAAGCCCAAAAAAGCCGCACGGGCAATCGTGGTTGCAGAGACAAGGCCGAATCCTCCCAGCCGGATGGGCAGCTGCACTTGCGCGGAAACCGAGTCAGGGAAGTCGCCGGGAAAGCGGAACATGCGCCTGAATGCCGTGATAATGGCGGCGTCATGTCGCTCGGCGGCTGGCAGGGAGACATCGGATTTCGGGGGGAGGAGGCGCAGCCAATAGTTTAGCCGGGGGGATGCACAATAGCGGAGGAGAAGGCCAGAGCCCTGCAAGCCCATCTGAGCAAAGGTCACGATTGCCTCGAGCAGCGGCTGGTGGCCGGTGGTGATCTTCTCGAGGCTGCGCTGGATGAAAGGGTTGGCGCCAAGCGGGCAGCCGAGGACAGTGATGCCTTCAGTGGAGCACTTCACGCCGGAAGCGGCGATGTCCGCCGGGATGTCGGAGTCTTGTTGCCAGCGGGGGCTCCATGCAGCACTCTTGTCTCTCCACAGCTTCAGCTTCTTCTCGGCCAGAAGCTGCTCAGCCCTGTCCACATACCGCGTCGCACGTGTCTCGTCCAATCCACCATCGATGTCGTCCATGAACGCACCAACGAAGTCGTCGGGGAACTCCTCTTGCAGCTTGACGAGGGCGGGGTAGAGGCCCAGGCAGAAGAGGAAAGGGCCCGCCGCGTCGCCTTGCTGGGTGCCCTCCTGACTGAGGATGGTCTCCGTGCGTCCGTCCTCCATGCGATACCACAGTTGTCTGGGAACTCCTCCTGCAGCTTGAGGAGAGCGGGTGGAGGCCAAGACAGAAAAGGAAGGGCCCAGCAGCGTCGCCCTGCTGATCCTCACCTGGCTCAGGATAGTCTTCACGTGACCATCCTCTATGCGATACCACAGTTCGGCCGCGTTGCCGTAGAACTGCCAAAAGAAGTCGGTTAGGGAGGGCCACTTGCGCCGAGCTCGTCGAGGATCGCCTGGCGGTCGATGGAGTTGAAGGCGTTCTTACAATTCAGAGTGACCAGCACACGGCGGGCTGAAGGGTCCCTCTGTGTGTCGATGAGGGTTTGGGGGGCCCCAAAAAAGCTGCTCTCCCCTGATCGAGGTGCTCACAGCGAATTGAAAAAGTCATCTTCGAAAGCCAACTTGTTCTCCATGCAGACCGCCTTTGTCACCCAACGACGAAGCACGTCGCCCACGGCGATGGGCCGAAGTCCTCCACTGTCCCTTCACCAAGGCGAAGAGACATGCAGCGGCGATGATCTTGGTGCAGCCTTCCGGCACGTCTCCCTCCCCCGCGAGCATCCGTTGGACAAGAGAGGGCAGAGGGATGCTCTGGTCATTCGCTTAGCGTCGCCCTCCCCCATACAGCGGTGAAATGCTCGTATCGCCGCCCCGTTGGGCCCCCCGCCGATCCTCGTGGAGCCGTCTTAAGGGCGGCAAGCAAGACAGCAGGCGAAATGGTGAGCGGCCCCTGCCGTTCGTCCGTGGAGTTCTGGGGCTGTGGTCGAGTAGGCAGGGGGCCGTTCGGGTACTGTTCATTCTCGTATTTGTTGCGTTTATATGTGGGTGAGACTCGCGTGGGTGTAGAGCTACCGAGAGTTTGGGTGAACAGCTGCCCGCCTAAATGTCCAGCCGGCTGGATGACCTTGAAGCTTCACAGGTTGGCGAAATCAAGCCTCTTGCGATTGTGGTCCCCGCGTCGCAGCCTTTGGGAAGCGGGTAAAAGTATTCCTTAAAAAAAACGCATGAAAGGGCGACGAAGTTCGTCTAATCCCCACAGACAAACAACCAGATCAAAGAGATGAGCAAGAAACAAACCAAGACAACCGAAAACGAAAGTCACACAGCAACCGAAAAACAAACAACATCGAATCACTCCAAATGCACGACACACAGTCACCCAGACAAACAGTGCAAACACACAAAGCATACAGACACTGCCGTGCCCAGACACATAGCACAATGCGCACGGCATTCCTCCACAGCAATCCGCCAGTCCACAGCGTTGGCTGGTGTGGGGGCTGTACGGCCTGATGAAGTCTTCTGGGAAAGCGTTGGCCCTCCGGGGTCCTCTGGCGGCAGCTGCTCGCTGTGCACGGCTGGACATCTGGAAGGCGTTGTGCTTCATCAGCTCCATAGACAAGAGCTGGCTCCAATGATTGATGGCGCTCTCACGGAAGACTCCATCCTCGACAGCAGGGATCGCCGCCGGGCGGGGCTTGCGCTTGGCGAGCATCTTCAGGAAGTCCAGGGTCTTCTCTCTCCACCTTCCGAATGTCTCTGCAGCAAGGGGGACAAAGCGAAAGCCTGCCGCTCGCGCGGCAGGGCCATACTTGTCGATCTTGTCCTTCTCCGCGGGCGCTGCAGCTTTGCCACTGCCCGCCGTGCCGATTCACCGTCCGGTGGAAAGGGATATTGGAGGCGTCAGGGCGGCAGGGGTGGGTGATGGTGATGTCGAGCAGGTAATCACTGCCGTCGATCACACAGTAAATGTCCATGCGCTGACTGTTGGGGTCGCTGTCGGGCGGCGTAATGCCGAGGCTGTGCAGGGGCACTTCAACGTTGGCGGGGATGTCCGCCTCCGCCAGGATCCGGACAAACAGGTTGCGCATGTTGTTGTGTCTCAGAATCCGCTCGCGACTAGTGTGGCAGACGAAGTAGTGATCGCCAAAGTCGTCAACCTCCCCGCCGCAGGTGCTTCGCTGCGTGACGGTTGCGTGCGGGAGGGCAATGCCGAGACACTCGGCGACGGCGCGGCGATACTAAAAGTTGTTCAGCGTCTTGTGCTCGCTGGAGGGGATGGCAGACAGCCAGCCAGATGAGAGAGGGCCTTTGCAGCTCAGCAGGCGGCTGCGGGCTCTGCTGTCCGGTGGAAGAGAGTTGAAGAGCTCATTGAAGCGGAACTTGTGCAGCTGATCAGTCAGGCGTTGCTGCAGCCGTACCTGCGGTCGAGAGACCAGGTCTTGAAGGGAGGGGAGGGAAAATGTGGGGCCAACCAACGCTGACAAGGCGTTGAGAGCAGGGGCTGCCGCTTGGATCTAGGGTAGGTCAAAGGCTAGGCCGTAGGCCCGCTTTGAGGCATCCACGGGGCAGCTCGGAAGCGGTTGAGGACGTCGGCTGCCGTCATTCCGACCAAACCCACAAAGGCTGCACGCGCAATCGTCACTGCCGAGATAATGGCGGCGTCATGTCGCTCGGCGGCTGCCAGGGAGAGATCGGGGTCCGGGGGAAGGAGGCGCAGCCAATAGTTCAATCGGGGTGATGCACAATAGCGGAGGAGTAGGCCCGGTCCTTGCAGACCCATCTGAGCGAACGTCACGATAGCCTCAAGCAGTGGCTTGTGGCCGTCGAGTATCTTATCGAGGCCGCGCCGGACGAAAGGGGTGGTGCCAAGGGGACAGCCGAGGACGGTGATGCCTTCGGCAGAGCACTTGACACCAGACCTGGCGATCTCGACAGGGATGTCGGACGGTTGCAGCCAGTGAGGGCTCCAGGCAGCGCTCTTATCCCGCCGCAGCTTCAGCTTCTTCTCCGCCCGGAGCTCCTCCGCTCTGTCCACGTATCTCGTCACACGTGTCTCGAGTAATCCACCGTCGATGTCGTCCATGAAAGCGCCCACAAAGCCGTCCGGGAACTCCTCCTGCAGCTTGACGAGGGCAGGGTGGAGACCGAGAAAGAAGAGAAGCGGCCCCGCGGCGTCGCCCTGCTGGGTCCCTTCCTGACTGAGAATGGTCTCGGCGCTACCGTCCTCCATACGGTACCACAGCTCAGCCGGGGTGCCTTAGGACTGCAAGAAGAAGTCGACGAGCGAAGGCCACTTTGTGTCGAGCTCGTCCAGAATCGCCTGGCGATCGAGTTGAAGGCATCCTTATGATCCACAGTCACCAGCACACGCCGACCAGAAGCAGTTGTGTCTCTGTGAAGGTCTGGCAGGCCCGAAACAGCTTCTCACCGCCTGCCGAGGTGCCCACAGCAAACTGCAAAGGAGAGAAGTCGTCTTCGAAGGCAAGCTTGTTGTCCATGCACACCGCCTTCGTCATCCATCGCCGCAGCACGTCGCCGACAGCAATCGGCCAGACCCCCCCCGTTGTCCTTGACTAGCGCAAAGAGACAAGCAGCAGAGATGACCTTGGTGCAGCACTCGGGCATGTCTCCGGTGAGCATTCTGCTGACGAGGGAGGACAGCGGGGACTGGTCCTGCGCTGTCGCATCCCCCTACCGCGTAAAGTGTACCGCTGCTTCCTGATAAGGTGACCTCGAAGCTTCTCCGCTGCTTCCTGATAAGGTGACCTCGAAGCTTCTCCAGTGGGTGAAACAGCCAGACAGCTCTGAGTGACGTTGGAGCTTCCCCCCTTTAGGTTGGGCCACGCTTCCATTACGTTTCCACCAAGCCTTCATTCGTTAAGGGAGCTGTCGAGCCGTATTGACCAAGAGAGCGCCTCAGCATGCCATTGGTTCGGACAGTGGGCCAAGCTGTAGACAGACTTTGGGAGAAGGGATCCCTCGGCATCAGGTCCTCCAGAGTGAAGACGAAGACGACCCTTCTCGGCCTCGTCGAAAGCGGCTATGAGTCATTGGATATCCCGTCCGATGACAATGCAATGGAGAGAAAGCAAGCAAGCTCCAAGGGGCAGTTTCTACGTCGTCGCATTGTATCGGCTTTCTTGGAGCTTCAAATCATGCTAATCGGCTTCGCTGTGTGTAGCTTCACTATCAAGCCTACTACGACATCACAGAAGTCAATGGGATCAGCGGCCAATGGCTCACGTATGTGTTCGTGTCTGCCGTGGGTCTGTTCGTCGCAACAGCATTCTTCTTGCAGTTAGCCCTTCATGTATGCGCGTACACCGCTTTGCTAAGGACGAGGGTGGGGATGACGATGAAGATGAGGAAGATGCATAGCCTTACTCATCCTGCTATCTAAGCACTGGATCCGTGTACATGTTCGTGGTGTAAGATATATATCAGTGGATTTGCAGTGAGGCAGGTAAAGGCCGAAGCCTCATTCATGCGTGGAGTGGGCGGTCTATGGTTGAACAGTAGCCGGCGTCATAGAAAAGATAGTACGGAACAATGTACGTGTGCGGCTACTTTGCTTGCGTAGCTAGCGGTAAAGCAGCCGTTGCAATAATAGGGAGATGTCTATACTTCGGTATGCATGAAGAAAGACTCCAGGACCATCTTGCCTCGGTTCTCATGTATTGAAAGTGAAAGCCTTTCTTATGCTCATATCTCTCACCTTGATCCATCTCGGTGTCGGGTAGGATTGTTTTCGAGCAGGCATGATTTCTTCTTTGAAAGGGTCGTCACGTGCATCACAGGTGCGTTGACGAGCGTCAATCTGGATTAGACCAGCGAAGATTGATGTCACGCTAAAGTCAATTCAACTTTTTGCTCACCTTCCGAAGATGCGTGGGAATTTCGTCTTTGGTATTTCTCTGGTGCGGTCCTGCCATGAGCCAAGCAAGACACACAGATGTTCGACTGGCCAACAGTTACCACGTTTCTCACTGCGACTCACAAGTATGCAAACTCATCCCCAATCGATGTTAAGCAACACTTGCAATGTCGGTGTTGTGTCCTCGACCATCATTACGGTCGCCTGTTTGTCATGCAACAAGGTCTCTTCTCGCGCAAACGCAGCAATCACGCTAGCCACCGACCTCAGAGCTCTGAGTCGTGCGGCACGCACAGAGAGTCTGACCGCTTTCGTGTCTTCGTGTCTCCCTTTGGTGATAGAAGTGCACCCCTTGAGAGGGAGAGCATGTAAGAGATAGACGCTTGCATGAGGAATGATGTACCTATGTACCTTGTCATCAACGTCCCTTGCAAATGAAAGAAGACACCTTTGGGGAGATTCTTCATCTTGCTGTCAGGAATCACCTGTCGATCCCTCCGCCTTGAGAAGGAAGCTGGCTGAAGCCTTGAATCAACACCGTGACTTCTTTATTCTTGCACTTACACACGCATAGACGAAGAGCACACGTGACGACAAGCCATTTTTGTGTACTTCTTTGCGCCTGCTTATACCAGATCGGACATATAGGGCCATTTGAAGAGTTACACTCTCAGTCGGGTCCGCCGCGTGTTTAGGAGCACAGGCCTATTGAATTTGTGGGCATCTCTCTTTACGTCTGTCGAGAGGCAGATCGATCAACGATAGATGCTTAGGGAATCCACACCTCGCTACACACAAGCAGGCACACAAAAGGTAGCCTTCTGGCCTCAGATCGCTTATGTCTTACTTGATCACCACGACAGCATGGTCCTTCCTTGGTGCGCCCAGCGCTCTAGCATACAGGTGCTACCAAATACGCCGACGCATGGGCAGCGAGTAAAGAGACACCTTTAGCAAGAGAGAGAGAGACTTGCAGAGCCAAGCATCCAACCGTGAGGAATTCGCTTAGAGCTTATTCGTTCATCTCCAAAAGCCTGACTATTTCGAGAGAGCACAATATGTCCACCTAAAGCACTACCTGCAGAGAGAGAGAAACATGCATACAGTCACGTATCATCTTGTTTACCTCTCCTACGAGTTTTCTGTTCTGTGTGTTATAGAGCTGAACCTTTGCTGCCCATGCCATTCTGCTCCGTCTGACGTAGACATAGGACTCATCAATTGATTCGTCTCACGCACCAGCTTTGCGCACCGGGCACCTCAGCCAGATCCACCCAGGAGATGAGCAAAGACAGGCAATACCTTCGGTGCTTGTATACTCTGTCCCTAAAACTCTTCTAGGTCTTGAGCCATGCTTTTCACGCAACATGGCCGTCCTCTTCAGTATCGAGCCGGTTTCTGTCCCAGCATGGCCATTTGAGCTTCAAACTGCTGCAAGTCAATACACAAAACACCAGGTCCATCGGTGCTGTCCGTCTGTCATGCAACCTGTCTTCTCTTTAGTCGTGTAGAAAAATGCCTCAGCTTTCAGTCGTGAGGACGGAGAGACATAGGAATGGCCTTATTCTGTAGCATGAAGAGCTCCAGATTCCATTCCTGGCGAGTAACATCATCGAAATGCGAGACACACCAGTTCTGCCGACGGCCAAGAATGATAGTGCGATTATCACACTCCGGTTACTGATCAGCAGGCGAAACTCGTGTGTGGCAATCGAGGGTCAGGTTGACAACTCCGGTCATCTCCTAATGCTTTCACGCACCTAAAGCTGCGACAAATTGATGCTTAATGTGATGATCGAATGGCTTTCACACTCACCTTATACACAGTGACATTGACGTAGTTTTCGGCTGGACGTCATCTGACGTGCGAGCCTTCTGGGCGCGAAGAGACAAGACCCGACTGGTTGTCGAGGGACTTCGTCACTTGATACACGACAGGGACATAAGCCATAGTGCTTCTTCTGTTAAAATCACCAGCTGGACGGATCGCTGGGTCTCTCGGGAGGCAGCGCTTTCTGACACAAGAAAAGGAACCATGCATGCTCCCAATGAGTGTGTCTCTCAGCCTGCATGCCTTGTGACTTTGTTTTCCAGCTTGGTTGTGGCCCTCCCAAGGAGATCGTCAGCGGATGGAATGTCTTTACTGGGGTACACGATTAATAACCCAAGGACCGGTGTTGGAGACGCAGATATAGGCAAGCGACAAAGACTGCAAGGAATTTGAGGGGTCTCCAGGCCTGCACGGGCTGTCTCAGCCATCGAGCTGATTCTCTCTTCAGAAAGCGAGAGATCTTGTCAAAGTAAGCCACACGGCCTCTTAGTAGAGTTGGATAGCCTCCTTGGCAAGCTGAAGGCTGCTGTCAAGGCGTGTCTCCTCCTCTGCTGACCAATGATCAGCACGGTAATTGTCACCGATTCTAGAAAGCGATATTACAATGACGTGTGCGGCTGTCTCAGAAGAGGTGAGACATCGTTCAAGTCGAAGAGGCCGGTCTTGTCGCCGAGAGAGAGGATCTTCTCGGTTTGCCGGCCGAGAGCGACTTCGCAAACATCAGGCTCAGAAGTGCTTAAGGCGCCGAAGAGTGGGGTCCACAGGGGTATCGCCAACGATGGCAGGGGTTTGTCAGAGATGCCTTGCCAGCATAGGCAGGGGTCATTAATGATACAGGAGAGAAGTTACCCTCTGTGCACCCTTTTTTGCACGCATTCGAGGTACCTGCACGTACTAGCTAAGTAGTAAAGATGGAACGAGAAAGGAGAGGGACAGAATAATGGACGAACTCATAAGCGAGACACTTTTTTAGACGGCAGGCTTGCGGGCTCGTTAAACGACATAACGAACGAACGAAGGGGAGGTGTCCACTCAAGCGGGCCTACAGCGAGCGAACGAGGAAAAAACGAAACCCGTCCGACATACATACACACACAGAAAATCAGGCCATTGTGTCCGAGTGCATGTACCTGCATGCATGCATTCAGCAAATTCACGGAAGACTTCTCCCCTTCTTTCCGTCGCCCTTCGTTCAACATGTCCCCGTGTGTTGTCAAGACCGTGCGCTGAGTGACAAGTGACGGACCAATTGACAGCGTCCAAAGGCCAGGTCCGCTCCAACGTCTCATTCCTGTCCGCTGAGGGCCCGCGTGAGGCCATTTGTGTACGACGGGGCCTGGGCAAAGTCACGGCCCCATCGTTTCAGATCGTGATCTCCAAAGTCGCATTGATCGCGCTACAGCCCCACGCAGTTTTTTCCGTGCCTCTTGTCGTTCTCGTCTTCTCTCTGGTCAGGGTTCGGCACAAGTCAACTCAAGTGTGCGACTCGAGAGTGATTGAACGAATGTCAGGCGTGAAGGTCCGTCACGTAGTGCCGGTTTCCAGACGACCGGCAAAAGCAAAGAACACGCCTGAGGACATTGCAGACTGCGCACCGAAAAGTATTTGCAGACTGCGGGCTTCCAGGCGCCAACACGACGAGGTAGATGAGTGCGAAAGCGAAAAAGCAACCTGACATGACCGACACACAACACGCCAACACCGACAGCACGGAAACGCACGTGAGGACATGTTACTATGCCCACTCCCGTGTCCACCGTGTGCATGCGTACCAGAGAGTTACAGCGGCCGCGATGTACTGGTCTGCCCCGACCCCTACCCCCGGGCAAAGCACATGAATAAGGTCATTGTCGATGGTGTGTCGCTGTGCGCTAGCAAGAGCCAAGTCAGCCAGATTCAGCTAGCAACATCAACAATGTGCCTACCTTTCCATGACCATCGCCTAGACAGACACACAGAGACATGGGAAGAGGGTGGGGGTTCAATGATGGGAAGGATGCATGGATAAGGCAAGAGACGTGGGTGCCATAGTGGGGCATCACCCGCTTCGTAGCTAGGGCGGACTTCAATAGAGCAGTAAGTAGTGCAATTGTGTCCTCGCCGGCAAGGTGCATGTCTGAGTAGTCGCTCCACTCGTCCCGATTTATGGATCACTTTGGGCCCGTGTCATGTGTGCGGTGTGTGAGTGAGTTTGACTAAGGGCGGTCTGTCGATCGCCGAGCTAGTCAGCCAGACAGGCACAGTGCATGCCTCTGCTTACGCACTGGTGGGTTGTTGGGTTGTTTAAACGTCGCTTTGCACGAGAGGGAACAGCCGGACAATGCTCTGTGTGCCATTTCTTCCTATATCTGCCAGCCGCCTTTCGCTGACCACACTCTCAGAAGTTGGTTCTCCATATGCTTTCACAAACGGCACGACGATGAGTACATCCAAAACGTTCCGTCAGCGGTCGACACTTGCACACAGTTCTCGACTTCTCCAGGATCCGGATTATTATCATCATAATCGCTACGTTGAGGGAGCTGACTGGCATCCGCAACCTGACTGAATGCAGAAAGAAAAAGAACGAACTTGATCCTTTATCTCATTCATTCGGCTCACCCGTCAATTGCGGCGATGATGTAGGCCGAAGGACCCGGGATGCTGTTTGTTGCTACGAGAATCGCCTCAAAACCTGTGTTCCTCGCGAAGACCTTCAGCATAGTAAGACAGATCAACCTGTAAATCGGAACAAGAAACAGACACTTATGCCATCACCATATCGGCAGCTATGAAGTGAGTTCTTCCGCTCTCAATCAGGTTGGGTGCCGAGACGGGAGAATTCCCAAAAAGATGGCAAATTGAAAAGTGCCTAGAATCAGCGGCGCTAGAAAACCTCTTCCTCCTTTCAAGCGGCAGGAGAATACAAGAACAAGAGCACAGCGCAGCTGCAGGATAGCTGACGATCATGTCGTATACTCTTGCTTTTTGACTTCGCTGCCCTTTGGATATATACATGCAGATACACACGCAGTGTCTCACGAGGCTCCATTTTAGCATTTTCTTCTAGGCTCTGTAAAGCTCCGTTGAGCCTGGAAGACGGCGATTTTGGGAGAATTCTTGTCATGGTAGCATAGGATTAGAGTCCAATTGGATTCATGTGAGATACATAGCCGAGGAAGCGCACTTGGCTTCGGGGCTCGTTTTCGCACTGTGCAGGAGAACATCACTCAGCAGCCAACTTCGAGGCAGCTCTACATGTAATTAGGCTTTTTCGTTTCCCAACTAGCCAGCAGACGCAGAGAGAATCCGCATTCAGACCGCTGAGAAGTGGTTTCATGAAGGCATATAGTGTAGTTAACAGCTAGGGTGCACATTGAAGATCTGAACGCAGTTATCGGGGTAACGGATAATTTGGCTCAAGAGGTCCCGTGGATCCGTTTGCTGCAAAGCCCGCTCAAAAACTATCGACAGAACTGTGCAACGCTTTACTGACATGAAACATCGAAAGAGAAGGTCCCCAACAGACAAGGAATAACGAGAGTGGTCGGTCGTCTGTCTGCACAGCTTCTCACCAAAGACACTGTCTCTAACCACATCGCTGGGGCACAAACACAAAACACCGAGCCGAACTGATGACTTTAAGAAGTAGAGGGTCTGTCAGTTGAGGGAGGCGAGCCTTCACAGCATGTGCCTCGGGTTGCACATAGAAAGGAAGGTGCACTCACTCTCTTTAAGGTACTGACCAGGCAGACCAATCACACAAAAGAAGAGGCAAGACAGAGCACATTAAGAGTCCCCACTCCCCAGGCAAGGCAGACGCCAGAACTAGAAGGGTGCGAGAAAAAAGAGCCCCCTCAGTAGAGAACTGTTCTGCATACCTGCCCATATAGGGACAGAGGGGTGGCAGGCAAGCCAGAGGATGGGGGACTGAGGGAAAGGGCACCAGAGAAAGGCCACATTGTCATGTATCCATGCATCCATCCAATGCGAACACCCTACGGTCCCACCGCTGAGAACACTGTATTTATAGACACCGACCACACAGAGGCAGAGAAGGGGTAGAAGGTAGGCTAGAGGAGGAGGGAATGAAGGAAAGGCCATCACAGAGAGGGAGGCTGCAGCAATCAATCACCGGCTGAGTCCACACTGCTCTGAGTCCACACTGCTCTGTCTCCGTACAATGCGAGCCTTCTAGGCTTCAACAGCAGAAAAAAATACACATACCGACCATGCAGGTGCAGAGAAGGGGTAGAAGGCAAGCCAGAGTAGGATGGAACGGAGAAAGGCCACTACGAGACAAGGTGGCAGAAAAGAGCAAGGTCAGTGCGTTCGACCATTGAGTTCCTGAATACTGCAGGCTGCGGTGTTCATACTTACTCACGCGCTCAAGCTATCAAAAAGGACCCCCACATACACTTTATAAAGGGAAAAAGAGTGAGACAGCCACGTACAGAAAATCACCACCCGGCCAAGAAGGTCAGGTGGGTCAAAGAGGACGCGTTCACTTACACCTGTGTCATGGCAGAAAAGAGCAAGGTCAGTGCGTTCGACCAATGGGTTCCTGAATACTGCAGGCTGCGGTGTTCATACTTACTCACGCGCTTAAGCTATCAAAAAGGACCCCCACATACACTTTATAAAGGGAAAGAGAGTGAGACAGCCACGTACAGAAAATCACCACCCGGCCAAGAAGGTCAGGTGGGTCAAAGAGGATGCGTTCACTTACACCTGTGTCAGGTCACATGAAACTTCATGCCTCAACATCATCCTCACACTCCCTTCCATTCTCTCAGTGCCCTCCTCAGTTCGTCTGAAGCTCCCATCTCCCCCTCTTTAGCCGCCGGTCTCGCTTCGATAGATTCCCTTCGCTTCAACAGGCTCTGCATCATGCCGATGCTGTTTGCAATAAAAAATGGGCTGCCTCTCTGATCTCCTCGGCGGATATCTTGGCTTGCTCCGCCGTCTGCTTTACTACATCGGGCAACTTGTTCAGAGCTGCAGTGTTAGAAATCGTATGCTTAACCTGCACATACACACATCGACACTCCATTAGCACTCCTTCAGATCGGCTCCTTCCTCACGTATGCGAGTGTGAGCATATGAGTGCATGCCAAGAAAGGTTGGTATGTGTTTGCGGGCTTTACCGCGGCGATTGCGTCGCAGAAACCGAGGCCGGCGGCCCCTTGCGCAGCGTCCTTGGCTTTGCCCGGGAACTCTTTTGCGGCGTCGATCAAGACCCGAACCTCCTCTGCCAACCTGCATACATTGATATAAGACAGCATTCGCCTGGAAAGCGTCCTTTGACCTGTTGCATTTACGTGCCATAGGCAGGTGTGTGATCGATTGTTTACGGGTCTTACGCGGGGATTTCTCTGATGGCGGTAGCGGACGCGTTAAGAGAAGGTCTCGAGGGCATCAATCGCGCTGATGATGCCACGATCGGCGTTGGTCGCATTGATTTTCAGCGCGCTTGAGGTCCACATCGAGTTTCACATTCTTGCGAATAGCCTCATCTAAACAAAGAGACAGCATCCTTCTGTTCTAGTAAAACAGGCAACGAGAAGAAACAATGCCTGTTCTCAGTGGGTGAGTCGTGCGTCTGTGAATGGGGTGGATTTCGGGTTTACCCTTCAGGTTCTTGATGGCGTCCTTAATAGTTTTGCACCTCCTGCCCCCAAACTCGCAAGCCACCTTCAGTGCCTCTGAACCTTCATCCATCTTATTACGGAGGTTGACGCACGTATTCTGAGGGTCAGCCGCCTTGTCGAACAAATCGTCAAACTCTGCGCAGCCAAACAGGAAAACCAGCTGGGACACAGTTGGTCGACCACAACAAAGTGAAGGACAGTGCGCGGGCTAATACAAGGTGAGGGCTACCCGTTCATATATATGGACACTGGATAGGTACGCGTGTGGGTGGGTCTTTGAAAACGTTTTACGCACGTACCGGGAATTTGGGTTTTCTTCATTGGAAAGAAATCCACGTTGTCGGGGAAGAGCTTGCTCACCATCGCCGTTTCGTTCTCGCCCCAACGCTCACTGGCAGCCAACCCCTAGAAATCGAACATACACATGACACAGAAGTTATAGAGAGCGTCACTCTATTAGAAAGCGCCACATACAGTGCTACATCCAGCAGGTGAGAATGTGGTGCAATCGTAAGGTATAATCCATGCATATTTCTTCTTTTTCAGTATCTTCCACTATCAGTTACCATGGCCCATTGGCGCAGCTCCATCCGCTCCCTCTTCGCGGTCCACTCGGCATCCTCCGTTTTGTACTTCTTGGTGAGCGCTTCGACTTCTTTCAAGGCCTTGTCCTTGTCCACGTTGCCGTTCTGGTCCTGAGCACGCTTGTTGCACAGGAGTCCGAGCGCCTCTTGGAAATTGGTAGCCTTCAGATGCTGGCTCTCGCTCGGACCCCAACACGTTGGAGGAATCTTGCTGAAGCAGACACCCATGAAAATGAAGAAGGGAAGAGAAAGGCACCCACGGAGCGATGCAAAACGCACTCGCAGCGACCACAGAACCCACCCAAGGGGCTCCTATCGTCACTTTGCGTCACAGAGCATACTGAAAAGTCTTTCATGTCCCACAGGTACTGGGACACCGATCGAGGAAGCGATGAGGACAGCGTTTGTGAGGAATCGTCTGACAGTGCAGAGAACCGCTGGCAGTGCCTGCGAATGCAGATCAAATGTACGAGGGACGAATTTGTCTCAGCCAGCCAGCAAGCCGAATGAAAGGAATGCGAGCTGGGTGCGGTGCGAGCTAGAGATAGTTGGAGTATCAGCAGTAGCTCGGGGTAGCGAGTAGGAATGTGACGAAGCCGGAAGAAGCATTCAGTGACGACGGAGGTCTCATGGACACGCAAGCTTGGGTCCACAACCATCGCAAGTCATGTCTCGTAGATCTCGCCCGTATAACTCGGTCTCCGCTCTAACTCCCCCTCTCGCTCGTCAGCTTTTGCTTGTCGTTGCTGCCGAGCGCTCATCATGAGGTGTTGGCGGTCAGCGAGATCATCGAAAAAGAAACAGACGAGGTGCTTTTTCGGCTGTTTGTCAGCTCACAGCAGCTCGTCAAGCCATGCGGATGACGCTTGGAGAGATGGGAGGCATCTTGTGCTCTTACTACCACCTCCGCATCACCACGCGGCTTGGCACGGCACTCACATGCACATCATGAACATGTAAGTGTGCCTTTTGTTGTTCTGACTGGCTGTCTGCCTTATCTGTCTGCCTTTCCTGCCTGTCTGTCCTTTTCTAGGTCCAGACTCGGCTGCAGCAGAAGATACACACACACGTAAGCATGTGTCAATGTGAATTGTGTTTGTTTCTTTTGTTGGCCTCAGGGCTTGTGACGAAGCGCCACGCAAACATCCTGAAGACCATGGTGCTGATGTGTCTGCAGCCTGAGCTGACCATTCTTGGGTCGCTCTGCTGTCACAGACATCAGCTACTTACCTGACGGTCGATAGCGCCTTTATTTCTATTGCTTACCTTTTCTCGGTGCCTTTTGTGTTTGCCTTTTTCGCTCTTTTTCTTGTCTATACGTATGCGGTCACTGATGGTGGGTTTGCTTGCCTGTGTTGGCTTGTCTGTCTCCCCCTCTTGACCGTATAGGTGAGCGAGGCATTAGAAGCACATGACGTGGCAAACATGCATGCCAGCTTGCTGAGTCAGATAGAACAGCCCTACATGAGAACTGCTCTGTGTCAGTTTCTCGAATCACAAGAGAGACTGCAGGCCATGCGGATATTCACGGCCACGTGAGGGTGTACAGTCCTCACGAGTCGTGATGTCCGTGCACACGTGGCGGCTTTCAATCTTCCCATCTTCTAGATAGGTGGCTCTCGCCTCACACAGTACTTCTGTGAGTGTCTGTGGCGATTCTGAGGGCTATCTCAGTCGTCCCTCGCTTTTGCCATTGCATCGCTCTGTGCCTTGTGTGTCTATAAACACACAGTGGCATCGGCATGCAATGGGTAAGTCAGACACATTTGTTTTGTTAGACATCTGTGATGTCTTTCTGGTGTGCTGCTCGACCTAGCTATCTGTCTTTGATGCAGCGAGCAGGCACACACATGTGTCTAGACGAGCTGAGACCGCATCAGGCCAGCTGCGCTATTTGTGCGCTGTGCTGTTATTGCTTTGCCTAATGCCCCCTCTGAGCTCAATGCCCAAGGAGTGAGCCAGCAATTGAGAGTCAGGCTAGGTTTTCGATGAACCCACTTAGGACGCAGAGCATCATCAATGCATTTTATGTATGCATGCGACGCTCCACCGTGCGCTGGTCCGTGACTCAATGCTGTACATGTTTGATTTTGCGTGAGGGACATCTGGACTTTGAAATAGAGGTGACGAATCACTTGGTGCAGCCATTGCACATGCTCTTTGACTGCATCTGAGCAATCACATCACTCTCTAAGTCCTTTCCCTCTCACACGCACTGTCAATGTGTTCCTTGATCAAAAATATGACTGCACGCAGACCAATTCCTCATGGAATCGATCAACAGCGGATCACTTCTCTCTCTGTCAGTTCTTTCTCAGCCCTCATCAATCAATGCACACTTGTCATCGATCGATCAACCAGCCGGCAGACCAATCGACCAACAGACGGCAAGATAGCACTGAGTGAGTGACGAGAAGACGAGAGAAAGAAATACTTCGTACATATACAGACGTGCATGACGTCCATGTATACGTACACACAGCGTCACTTGTACCAGCCCCCTCTGTCTTCGTGAGCTCTTGGGTGGCCAGCTAGTGCGCTGTAGTCTTGTAGAGCCTCATTCGTCTGGCTCAGATCCATCGTCACTGTCTCGCATCTCTTGCAGCATACGGCCGAGCACTCGACATTCATCTGTCGTGTGATTGAACAGCGGACGTTCTCGTCGTGTCGGGCAGAGACGGCAGAATAGTTGCCGGCGCTCTTGGGTGGCACCAGCAACGGGCAATGATATCACAGTCGATGCTCCCTGTCCTGTATTGCGTCCAGACAGGGTGTGCGAGTCAGATGGACCATGCGTACCGTCACCGAGCTCCGCAGGAATGCGGGCGGCCATACGGCGCATCTTTTCGTAAGTGAAGTCCACCTGCCCGATGAACACACTCCACAGAAAAGCACACATTGGGTTCGCTCTGTGAGCACCCAGACGCACGATCATCTTCTGTACGACGTCGTCTTTTGTGCGCCTTTCTGTACCATACGCCTTGTTGACGGCAAGTGAGAGACGGTCAAGGTCTCCAAGATTATCCATGAAGCCCTTGCTCTCATCGTAATCCCACCTGTCGTATTCGACGTTTATCTGTGAACGCCTCTGCTCGATGCTCGGCTCATATCTGCGACGCAGAGCCAACAGAGACACACACCCATCGTGTGTTGTGGTTGCCTCCTGGACCGTTCCTTGACAGTCCTTGCCCTCTGTGGCCCTGTCCAGTGCTCTCCACAACATCCATCTCTCCATCCTCATGTTGCGGCGTTGGACATCTGTGAGCGACTCGTCAGCGAACTTCACCGACAGCTCGTCATCAGTTGACGGATGAAAGTACTTGGCCATGCCATCGATGCCATAGAACATGCCAGCGAACGACTGACGCCAGCTGTGGTAGTCGCTCTCTTTGCCGCTGAAGCGAGGAGGGTTGGTGGCGATGCCATCAGCCATCTGTACCACAACTCACTGTGTGGCACTTGTTGGATGACGTCACGTTGCTCGGTCATCATCACCGGGAGATGGTGTCTCGTCAGATGGTGAGGGAAGGCACGCCAAATGGCTCATCACACCCGAGGTGGGCGTTCATAACCAGTTGGAGTATCAGCAGTAGCTCGGGGTAGCGAGTAGGAATGTGACGAAGCCGGAAGAAGCATTCAGTGACGACGGAGGTCTCATGGACACGCAAGCTTGGGTCCACAACCATCGCAAGTCATGTCTCGTAGATCTCGCCCGTATAACTCGGTCTCCGCTCTAACTGAGATGGCCACGGGCTATTGGCCACAGGTAGGCCACAGGTTCATGTATGACTGCGTGAATGCATGTCCATGAACGATAGGCAGTGCAGAGCGTTTTGTTCAACCATCATCGAACTCAGAGCCATGTTGACCAGTCCTGATGATGCTTCAAATGGACAAGACCATCGTATGACTGGTCTCACTGAAGTGACAACACTCTGCCTCTAGGACTCACCGCCCAATAGATCCTCAGCTACTTCACTGATTCGGCAGCTCCTCACCGGCCTTTCCGCACACCGGCGCAGCGATGTGGTGCTAGCGCTAAAGCATATATCCGCCCACTGATATATCGTAACAGGTCTGTCAGCTTCTCGCTCTAATTCGACTGAGAGCGCCTCCTTGCGCAGCGGACAATAGCAGCAGCAGCAGGAAGCAACTGCTAGTCTTATCTGAAGAAAGACGACGACGACAACAACAACAACAAAACACAACAACACAACAGACAACAGATATGGGGTCACTCAATCTCGAAAGGAAAGCCACCTTTCTCGTCTCTACCGGCAGGAGTGGTGAAAATGAGATCAAGTGGCACGAATGGGACTTTACCCTGAGAGCCCATCTATCAGCAAGAGGGATGGATGTGTCGGTCTGCCTACCAACGAAAGATGAGGACGTCCCCCCGCTGAAGATACGCGTGCTGCAAACAGATGCCAACGATCAGCCCATGACTCATGATGGACAGCCAATCGTCGTCGAGCAGGGCAATCCTAATGCGAAGAACATTCGATGGCTGTTCGGCTTCCTCGCCCTACAGACAGCAGACAAGGGGAAGCGACTGATCCAAGAAGCATACCAGAAGCATGGCGAGAACGGTGCACGGGCCCATCTGGAGGTGCGGAAACGATTCATACCTGATCGAGCAGTCTGCAAGCATGAGCTCTTGCAGAGATTCTTCAACTAGAAGATGGTCAAGGACAACCTTGATGACGCCCTTGGTGACTTCAGCTATCTCGTCGGCCGCCTCCACGACATCGGACCAACAGTGCCTGACGAGACGATGATCGCCGTCATGCTGTCAGCATTACCTGAGAGATTCGACATGTTCAGGGCAACGATGAGCGCATGAGTCAGCATTTCGCGCGTTTCGTGGGGAGCCACTCACCTGGCCTCAGTTTGAAGAAGCCCTGCGCAGCGAGACCGCCAAAACTAGCAGACGGGTCGCCCATTCGACCGGCAGCACGAGCGCCAAGACCACCTCAATAAGCAGCATATTCTGATAACGACAGGAAGGGATGGACAGACAGGCGACCTGACAATAGACAGCAGAACAACACAAACAGGAGCAAAAAATAGCTATAATTGTAGGAATCAGCCCGACGACACCAACAGGCAGAGCAGCAACTAATATGCGCACCCTCCCTAGCACACCAGGGATTATGAATGTGGGCAGCAGCAAGGACGAGGAGAACAACAGCAACAAGGGTAGCGAGCCACAGACCGTCGCGACAACGATGTCGATGTCATCATAAATAGTGCAAGGGCGCGGATGAACGACAACAAAAGGACCAATCGACGCAATGGCCGCCAATATGCCAACCAGCTCGACATCTACAATGAAGAGCAACAGCAATATGACAGCAATGAGGACTATGCAACGATTGGAGCAATCGAGATAGAAGAGCTAGCGGAAGAGGTCGCGTATGTCAACGGTGCATGCTCATCTTCACCTACAGCAATGATGGTGGACCCTGGAGCGGCGCAGTCATGCTGGTTCAAGAAGTAGCTCGTTAGCGACATCAAGCCGCTTGAACGAGACATCAATGTCATCAGGGCGAATGGAACGAAAGCCCAAGTTGTGGGTGTCGGCTGTATCAAACTCACCTATAGAGAAGTCAACAAGGACAAGAAGAATGTCATGGTGGATAACGTGCTGTTCGTTCCCAAGCTTCAACCTGCTCTCCCTCGCACACCTACCTGGTCGACGACTACAGCCCGAAGCTTGAGATTGATCATGGTGCTGCATTCTTGAAGGCACGGAGAGGGATATGTATCCATTGATGTGAGAAGGGCGGTTCTGCTATATCCACATCCACAAGAACCCCTCTGACTGCCCAAGTGCTACCGATGAGCCAGTGGTTGATGTTAGAGCAGCCGCAGACGCCACTGGTGGACGACAGCAATAGAGAGTCGGCAGATGTGATGACAGCAGACATACTGGTCGCAGAGGTAGTCATTCGAGAGCGATTGCATCAGTGATCCGCCCATATCAACGAATCTTACCTCAAGAAGTCACCTACATTGACAAGACACGCACCAGCAACTAAGAACGACAACACTGAAGCGCCAAGTGTAGAGAAGGCTAAGTGTGAGGTGTGTTTGAAGGCCAAGATAAAGCGCCAGCCTTACGTGGCTGATGCGTATCGACATCAAAATGCAACCATCTCACACGTCGACCTGTCGCAAATCAAGCAGCCCAGCGAGAGAGGATACAAGTACCTGACGGTGATTGTTGTCGAGGCATCAAGGTAGCTGCAAGCTTACTTCCTCAAGGACAAATCTGAGGCGCCCGGAGCATCATCAACCACCACACCGCAATCCACATGTCTAAGGTTGTGACAACGGATGGTCGGGCAGAGCTCATCTCAGGCAGATGGAAGGAGCTCTAGGAGACGCATCAGATACGACAGGAGAGAGGTTTGACATATCATCATCGCAGATGGAGTGACTGAGCGGACTATCGGTGTGATTTGTGGGATGGCACGAGCCCTGCTCTTCACTGCTGGCCTGCCAGCGTCCTACTGGTACTATGCGATAGCGACAGCAGCGTACATCAAGAGCCGCACGCCAACAGCAGCCAATGAGGGGATGAAGACACCACATGAGCTCTTCATTGGCTATCCGTCTACCATCAGCCATGTCCACACATTCGGCTGCCAGGCACACTTCAACCAAACGAATGAGACGATCAACACGGGAATTGGTGTTGTCATGTAATGTAGTGTTCGACGAAATCATACTACCTGCACAGCAGAAGGCACCAAAAGCATCGCCAGCTATCATCCCATCTACTCACAGGGGGGGAAACTGTCATTAACCGTAACACTCGTCTGTGTGTCCGTGATACTCATACAAATACAGTCCCATCAGCACGCAGAGTCAAAGAGGCTTAACGGGAGGAGGGATCAATCCCCGCCCCATCAGCACACCCCAGTCCCGCAAACCCTCCCCTCCCTCCCCCACGCAGACAGAAGCTAGTCGCACGCGCGAGGGCGATAGACAAGCGAGAGCGAATCCATCCAGACACATGACTGAACCCCCGACCCTT